TACTTTTAATAATTTTTTATTTTATACAAATTCAATAATTATAATACGATGAAATATAAGTTATTAGTGTAGTATAGTTAATGATGACTATTTGAATTTGTTATAAAATACATAGGAATATTATTTTGATCAACTTTAAAATAATTATAGGGATATGTTTGAACTAAAATGATGCAGAAAGATAACATATTCAAAAACAAACAAAAAAAACATATAAATGTGATTGTAAGTTAATTTTAGAACTGTATTTATATATATATATATAGAAAGAAGCAAAGAACAAAAAACAGATTAAACATCAAAATTATATTTAAGACACAAAAACAAAAGAAAAAAAAAAAAAAGAATTTTTTTTAAACATGAATAATATCAGGAGTAACACTATCTCCAAATGAATAATAAGTATCATAAATTTTTTTATTATTTATTGTTGTTGTTAATATTGATCGAGTAGAAAGTGTTGTTGTTGATGGTGTATTCATTAATGGATCATCATCATGTTTTTGTTTTTGTTTTTGTTTAAAAAAGTAAAAAGTAAGAAAAATAATAATAAGAAAAAAAATGATAATAATAATTGAAATAAAAGAAATAAAATAAAATAATTGTGATGAATATGAATATTGTTGAATTGACATAAGAAATTTTTGTGGATCAGTTTGATTATCATGAATAAGTATTGTTAATTGAATATTTATTTGAGAAGAAAGTGATATAATAAGTGTACCATAAAGTGGAAGTATTGATGTTGATAAAAGATATAATTGTCCAGAAAGATAATCAATATTTATTGATGAATTAAGTGTACCACCAATAATAGAATAAGATATAAAACGATTTTTAAGATCAATATCATTATCAAATGCTTTTAAACGAGGCATTGTTTTATTTGTATAATTAATAATAAATATATTATTTATTGATGATGGATAAATTAAATAAGGTAAATTATCATTAATATCAATTATATTTATATATAATTTTAAATAACAACATAATGATGGTAATGAATTAATATTATCACAAGCTATAATTAATGATGAATATGTTTGAATTAATTCATAATCAAATGAATTTATTGTTGTTTGAATTAAACCTGTTGTTAAATTAATATTTAAATAAGATGTTTTAGGTGATAATTTATATTGTAGTGTTCCATTTTGTTTATAATCAGGATCATATGCTTGAATTTGTATTAAATTTGTATTTAATGGAAGATTTTCATTAATTGTTAATGTTATTGATGATGAATTAAATTTACAAATATTATCATTTTCATCAAGAATATTTAAATATATAGATGAACATGTTTGATAAATTCCATCAAATACACAAATAAATAAAGAATAATTTGATTTTATTTCACGATCAAATGATTTTAATATCCAGAAATCTCCACTTGTAGAATTTATTGAAAATATATTTTCATCTAAATATAAATTTTAAATAAATAATTTTAATGACAAAAAAAAATAAATAAATATTAATCGAAAATTATTTTTCTTATAGAATATTTTCTTTATATAGTATAAATAAATAAAATTTATTTATAAATTTTTATCATAACAAAAATTAGTAAATTTAAAATATTTTCTAATATTCATGAAAAATATCTAATAAATATTTGATATATTTCAAATGACATTCTTTGCTTATATGGTTTTTTTTTAGTAGAATAGGTTGATATATATATTCTAGATATTTAGATCTACTCATAATTAGGACTTGAATTTTCTACTTCTCTTACAATGATAGATATACAAGTAACATAAAGATTCAAAGAAAAAACTTTTTTTTTTGAATTATTTCTAAAGATCTTTTTGCCATTCTGTTAAGTATGTGAAATAAAAAAAGAAACCAATAAATAGAACAATATTTACAAATGGTGGAAATTGTTTAAATATAACAAGAAGAAAACATATGTAAATGTTGTATGTATTTACTTTCCATCTTGATCTATAACTTGTTTCAATCGACTCATTCATCTTTTCATCATTTGTTTACATTTTACTATTATTGAAGATTTTCTATTTTCTTTTTTTTTTTGCACTATTCAAATGTTTTTAGTTTTTCTTAATTACATTCTAAACTATCTCATTTAACTAAATATTAGTCAGGTTTGTATTATTAACTTTAAGATCAATATATTGATTAAATAATTATTTAATATTATTTATCACAATTGTTATTCTAATCATTTTGAAATATCAATATCAAGTTAGTCTTTCAAAAAAAAAACAAATAATACAATGTAGAACTAATATATAGAAAACTAAATAAAAAATACTAATTATGTTTTTTGTAAATGTTATTACAAAAAAATTCAAAAATAACAAAAATATTTCTATGAATTTTATGTTTAAATGTATATCTATGATTATATAAGAGATAGAAATATTTCGAGTTGTAACATAGAATAGATCTAAATATCTAATAAATGTGTAGTGAAACAATTGTTTAGTAAATAAACTGATATTTCATCATATAATTCTTTCTTTATGAAATAAAAAATGTATAATAGGGGATATTTCAAAAGTCATAATCACTTAACAAATATACTTAAAGATTCAATTTTGAACAAGATTAATTAAAAGTTTGATTTTTCTGCACTATTTTGAAAGAGAAGATTAGAAAGTTTTGTTTTTATTCTTAAAAATCATATTTATTAACATTGCAAAAAAGAAAGAATATAATTCTTTTAGTTAAAATATAAAAACAAAGTTTTTCGTTAAAGTCTAAAAAATGATATATTCCATTGTTTTCAAAAATTTATTTGAATATTCTATCGTTCTTATAACTATGAGATCACTTTAAAAAATTTCGAATCATTATTAATGTCTTTTTTTTTGTATGCAGATTGTTTATAGTTCATTAAAAACTATAATAATAATGATCTATAATAATGAGCTTGACTATTTTATAAGTTATTTATCATTTAAATAATATTAGACTTAAATATATTTGTTAAAAAAAATAAAATAAATAAATAAATCAAACCTGAAGTTTGAATTTGATAAATAAATTGATTTAAATAATCATAATCAAAAGCTTGAAATGTATAAATAAGAAAAGGTATTTGATTATTTTCTTGAATATGAAAAAAATAATTTGTTTGATTAAAAAAAGGTTGACAATCATTTATATTTTCAATAATAATTTCAATAGATTTTTTTGTTAAATTTTGTTTATTTAAAATAAAATCTAAATAAATATTTTGAATTAATTCATAATCAAATGTTTTTAAAAGAATTAATTCAAATAATTGTTGATCTAATTTTTTTAAATAAAAATAATTTTTATCAATATTAATAGATGTTATCATATCTAATGAATAAAATGACGATGATGATGATGATGATGATGATGATGATGATGATGATGATATAAATAATTGAAGAATTGTTATTGGTACAGATATATTTTCTTTAATAAATATTTTATTATCAATTTTTTGAAATAATTTTGGTATTAAAATTTGAATAAAATTTTCTTGTTTATCATCATTATGATAATGATTATTATTATTATTATTATTAAATTGAGAAGTTAAATTAAAATAAATTTGAACTGTTGTTAATGAAGAAAGATAATTTAAATAAAATGCTTCAATAAATATTTCATAAAATTTATCAAATAAATTAATTTGTTGTTTATCATTTAAATAAATTTCACCAGTTGTTTCATTTATTTGAAATAAATTTGAATTTTCAATTAATGGAATAATACGATAATATATTTGTTTATTATTATTATTTAAATTAATATAAAAATCATTTTTTGCATGAACTTTTCCTATAAATGTTTTATTTAAATTAAATATATTAAATTTATATAAATTAAAATCAAATATTGGTGGTAAATTATTATTATATTGTTGATTTTGTAAAATATTTATTTCAATTAAACATTTATCTTCTTCATTTTCTCCATCATTAACAATAAGTTCAAAAAGATATTTTTTATTTTTTTCTAAATTTTTAATTAAAATTAATTCAAGTAAATGATTTTTTTTATCATAATTAAGTTTAAATGGAAAATATGTTATATTAAATAAATTTAAATAATAATTTTTTATTGAATTTTTTTCACTTAAATCTTTATCTTCAGCTTGTTCTAATTGTAAACGATAACCTATTAATATATTTTCATCAAATTCATATGAATAATATTTTTTTTTAAATTTTGGTTTATGATCATTTATATCTTCAATATTTATTTTTAATTTAATTAATTTTATTTCTTCTTTTTCTATATATAAATCACAATTTAAATAACAATTTTTATCATATGGACAAAGTTTTTCACGATCAATTTTAAATGAACGAATTTTAAATAAATTTTCTTTATCTATATAAAAATTTAAACATGGACGAACAAATTTTATTATATAACCATTTGAATTATTTAATATATATTCAGATTTTATATATGATCTTAAATCTACAATTATTGTACCATTTTCTTCTTCTTCTTTTATTGAGATTTCAATTGAAATTTCTTCAAATGATTTTATTTTATTTATATTTATTATTATTATTATTATTAATATTAATAACAAATATTTTATCATCTTCTTCTTTTTATCTTAAAAATAAAAAACAAAATATATTACAAAATAAAACTATTCGTTTATCAAATATTTTATTTTTGTTTTTCATATAGTAACATTCAAAATTGATATTATCATCAATCATATAAAGTATCTCTACTTTCTTATATGATATTATGTCGGAATGTGGAACACTTGTTGATAGTAAGAAACATAAACTTTATCGATTTTAGATATGAACTCTAGTACACCTGCTAAACGAATACTGGAAATAAATCATTTCAAAAAAATATAGTTGAACTTACCTCATATGTTTTATTATGTTCTCTTTTTCTCTTCAACGAATTCTTTTATTGCGTTTTATATAAATGAATAGATCAATATACACTTAACATAAGAGAATATGTCTATATCAATAATATAAGTATCTTCATTTATTCAAATAACGATTCTCACTTTCTTTTTCTCTCGTTTTGTTTATATACATATGTAATATTTATATACATATATAAACTAATATCATCATCAAAGCATCACTTGTGTCTCAATCAATATAAAAGTAGACTCTTGAGAGAAAAAGAGACATCTTTATGTGTTCTCAATCTGTTTTTAGCAAGAATGGAAAAAGAGAGAGAGAGAGAGCGACAGAGAGATTATAATTTTCTCTTTTTCCTGAATATGTCGTAAGAGAATGCAAAGGCGAAAATTGAATTTGAGTTCGATCAATTCTCGTTCTGTTTTCAGACTAAACAATGATGATCACTTTGTAATTAGATTCTTTTTTTTTCTCTGTCTCTCTGTTCAAATAGAAAATCAAGAAAGAAAAAGGGAGGGAACATTGAGATAGAATCTACAAGTACTTGTGCGTGATCCTCTATACTTGACTCTCTTATATATGTTCATATATATATATATACACATCAATTCGGACGGAAATTATCATCATCATCGTCATCATTTTTCAACAAGTGTCCAATGTCGTCTGAGTACATTCGATAGAATTATCTTCTTTAGTCTTTTTTTTTCTATTTTTATCTTGGTCAAACTGTAAGACATCAGCATGAGACATAAATAATTATAACTTACCCTTGAGGAGAGAACACACTATATTGAGAATGACCCTTCTTTTTTTCTTTTTTTTTTCAATTGAGCAATGACGATGCCATCAATGAAATATAAAGTCTATAGCCGGAAATTCATTCACTCATGAATAAGACACAAGAAAAAGATTGAGAAGGAAAAGAAATAGGTTATCAATCTATCTATCTATCTATATATATTTATCGCCTGTGTATGTGTGCAAATGGTGACGATTAATCGTCTTTTTTATATGTCGAGAGTAGATTTCAATCGGCCTTATCTAAAGTTGAACATAATTTATCGATATGAAAATAATGGTGGTACTAAAAACAGATGTTGAGTTAAGGAAAAGTATATGTTATGTTATCTCAATAAATGGATCATAGCAATACATACGAGAGAATATGAGCGAAAGCATATAAAAACTATTATAATTGAGATTGTTCTACTATATATTTTGTGTATATTGGTGAAAGAATAACAAGAAGAGAGAATGAACAAGAACATATGTGTTAAGGTAATTCGATTAGTTGCCGGCTGGACATATTCAATTTTGAGAGAAAAAAAGATAATGGTCTACTGGACAAGACAGTCAACTAACTTGACAACAGGAACTATGCAACTGTCCAATTCAGTTATATTGGTTTAACATAGTTTCTAATTTTGTCAAATTATGTTGGATACAACTCTAATTGATTATCGTTTCAGTTGTATTTAATTTTGGTAATCCGGAACTTATATGCAATATGAAAAAAAGAGGAAACTGCATCAAGAAATAAATCATTAGTAGACTTAGACGGTTTCGCTGATGTTTTAGATGATTGTAATATTGTGAAATGTGTACAAAATATTGGCGCATGTTGTCGGACGGAAACAATTTATATTTGTAGTTTGATTTTGCAAAACTCGATTAAAATACTTACATAAGCTTATTATAATAATCTTGAATGGATGTATCTCTCTGAAAACGAGCTTATGAGTGATTATTCTTTTTGCGCATTAATTTTTGTTGTAAAAAAATGTTAAAGAAATATTTTTAGCAACAAGAATAAGACTATGATAAATCAAGGATGACATTCTTTGTTTCATTTTTTTTTATGTTTCTTAATCGTGCTAATCCATCCCGATCAGTAATATTCAATGTTTCAATATGATTATCATCGTCAATGGTTTCTTCTTGTTATATGTTCTACACAAATGAGAAAAATAAAAAGAAATTGACGTAGCTTGTATAGATGAAAGTTTTGATATGTTTAGTTCTATTATTGATCGTCGATAGTTTCCCAGTTGTGACGACACTTAAAAATCATTATTTTGTTCGATGAGAAGATTATCAAAACCGGAAACAAGTAGAAGATGAACAAAGACAATCTATTGTTGTGAATTATATCAATGATTTTACTCAATATTACTGATCAACATATCCACGTTCTTAATAGCATCAATAAACTAATTTGTACTCTTGAAAATAACTATCCTATCGTATTAATGCAGATTTTAATCGAATCAAAATCGTTGATGATGATTGTCATTGTTCTAGATCTTTTCCTATCTAAAACACATTTCAATGGTTCAACATTGTTCTACACAGATTTTTAACAACACAAACTGGAAATCGTCAATTTTTTTCAATATCGATTTGATTGGAATAGTTTTTTTTGCATTACTCCACTCAATTAAATTATCCTTCGAAATACTTTTTTTCTCTATATGATGGAATATTCTTAGCAAATGACGAGATACATATTATAATCTAAATTGAATGAGCATGGTTAGATAGACAAGTGGTGAAGCCACAAGGAAGTATAAAAATTGAAAATTATATTCTTATAATCACTGTTTCCAATACTACATTATTTCAAACTATTTTAATATCTTTAATTAGTCGTTCAATGATTACTAATGTCCGTAAAATCGAATATCTATTGATATTTCCTGGAAATGATTCGATATTGAGAAATTTCTGAGATCAGCTGTAGAGATATTCTGTATTTCTTTCTTGTTTCATCATGTTATTGATTATTTGATAAGTCTTGATCGAATCGTGCAAGATCGACTTCGTATTCCTGCCAATGTGCAACAAATTGAGATGAACATTTCTATAAGAATAATTCCATGTATATTGATTCAAATTTGTTTTCTTGTGCTTTCAAACTGTATCATATTCATAAATACAGATATAAAATGAAGTATTATATTATAATCATATTATCTAAATAGTTCTAGATTTACTTATTTAGTATACAGAAAAGTATGATTGTTTTCTTTTTTACATAATTATTTTTTGGTTTATTACTTACCGTATGAAAATATATCATAATCTTTAGTACTAATTTAGTGTATTTTTGTTCGTTTGTATCATATACTATCGAAGTATGATTTTGAACTTCGTCTTCATCATAGAATAATATTGATCGTTTTTTTGACATTTGTTATTGATCTTCAAAACCATTTCGATTGATATTTTATGTAAAGACAATTAGAAAAGATATACTACAATGATAAGTACATAAAATTCCACTTGATGAATCGAAAATATATAATCGAATAGATGGTATTTCTACTAAATGTCAATCGATGCGCCCATTCGGTGATAAAAGAAATTTAAAATATCAATGTATTATTCTTGCAAAACTATTTACCTTATTTTATTCCACTAAGAAAATTAAAGAAAACATTCACGTGCAAATTTCAATAATTATTAATGAAAAAAAAAAATTTGTCTATATAAAGACAAAAAGAAGTAGGGAAACGATAATGATTGTAAAAAATTGAAACTGACTAAACGAATTAAAACCATTGGATTTAGGAACAATTGTGGTTGATGATGTTGTTGTTGATATTGTTGTTGTTGATTTAGTCAAGATTTGACATCCGTTTCTATCTGTATAAGGACCCCAACATGCTGCATAAGCCATTTTATGTGCAATTGTATGTTGTTCCATTGTTCCAATAAATAAATGACTCCATGGTCCATGAGCATATATAGGTACATCTTCAGCTCCATGGGTTTCATCCTTTAGTGGTAGAGCTGTTGGTGATAAATAATTAGTTGAATTTAAATCAAGTGAAGATAAGTAAGTTGCATTTCGAGGTGAAGGAAAATTCGGTCCATTTCCATATGCAATAATATTAACAGGCAATTTATCAATATCACTGACATTACGAGATTCTAATGATCCAAAACCTAAAATATTTGAACCACGTGAAGAATATGCACCTATTGTAAATACATGTGAATGATCAGCAGTAACAATCATTAATGTATCATTCAGGAGACCTTTTTCTTTTAAGATTTCTTTAGTTTGTCCAATAGTATTATCGAATTCAACAAACTCATCAAGTGCATATCGCGCTTTTGTCTCATGGTGTCCATGATCAATTCTTCCACCTTCAATTAAAAGAAAAAAACCATTTTGTTTCATATTTAAAAAATGTTCTATTGCAAATTTGGTCATTTGTGATAAACTTGGTTTATCATTTCTGGTTGCTTTTCTATCAGTTTCATAATACATATGATCATATTCGAATAATCCCATTAATGGTGTTTGTGTACCTAAAATAATTTTATTCATTTCAGTTTTGTTCCAAATAAAACGTCCACGCCAAAATTCATCAATAAGGGATCGATTATCAGTACGAGAACCATTTAATGTTGGGTTTTCAATATCAGACTTTGTATTCGGATAAAAGTGTCGACGACCACCGCCGAATAAAAGATCGATTGGGGGTGAACGTAATACAAGCTGATGAGCAATATCAAGACAACCTTCTTGACTTTGACGAATACCAAATATTTTTGTATTATAACTTTCCCAGTCACGTTCAGGTACATGAGCATAAGCAGCAGCTGGTGTTGCATGAGTTATACGAGCCGTTGTTACGATACCAACTTTTTTGCCTAAATCGACAATCAAAAAAACAATTAATTAAATTTTTTTATTTTCTATTAAAATATTTTACCAGCTTTTTGAGCCCAATCGAGAATACTGGTCACATTTGTACCAATGGAACTTGAACAATTCGATCGTTTTGCACGTCCGTCAACTCCTATTGTACCTAATTGAGCTTTAACACCACATAAAAAAGCTGTTGCTGTTGCTGCTGAATCTGGTGTTTGATAATCAATATTATATCTAAATAATCTTTTTTATAGCTAAAAATAAAATGTTTTAGTCTTAAACGTACGTTTTTGACAAACCCAAATGAGTAAATTGTTCCATTTCAGTAAGAAAATCTTCGCCTAACTGACCATTAGTTTGTCCTTTTCGAATTCTACCTCCAGTAACCGTTGATACACCCATACCATCACCCAAAAATAGAATTACATTTTTAGCTATTCCCGTATTCTCACGACGTTTTAATCCTTCTTCAATTGATAATCGAGCTTGTTCATACCAAAATGAAGAACTCTTTTCTATTGTCCAGTCACGTCGACCACCATTAACGAGATTACCAATCACCAAAAGAAGAACAACATTCAATAATAGAATTTCTGAAAACATAAGAACAATGTATCATCATATTATGACTAAGGTCATTAAATGAAACTTCATTACTACAACAATCATTATGGCTACGCGTCACTTCTCTTTTCCGTAGACCTCCTGTTCAAAGGTAATTATGTTAGCAACGATATAGATCTAGTTGGAATGATAAAGTAGCTCAATAAACATCATTATGGAGGGTAACGACAGAGCTACTCTTCCACTTAGTCACACTCAAGATCTATACATTCAAGTAGATGAAATAGAATAAAGGTAAGCTACTTGTGCAATCTCTAGATGATTAAAATATCAAACACGATGTAGCTGCTCTTGCTAATCACATCGAAATTGTTTTATTCTATATATTTTGGGACACATTTCTTCATCATCGTTTTGTTTAATCGTCCAGAAATGCAATAAACAAGTAGGTCAAATATTTTAAGCAGGTATTATAGATATACGGTCTATAATTCAAGCTAAGGAAACGTTACCAAAGCGTCTATTATGGTCTACGATGAAGGAGAGACCGTTTTAAGGATATCAGTCACGACTATGGGAAAGAGGAGAAGTCGAAATTTCCACGTGTATACCTCAACAGGCCTTTTAGATCGTGTTTCACAAAAGAAAAACGCATAATTTATCAAGTTTTACAAGTTGTGCAGTAGTGAAACTATTATCAATGTCTGAGCATTGATGAATAGACAACAACGCATCATCTTTGTTATTATGAATAAAAAAAACCCGTATTTATCAAAATGAAGATAATCCATTATGCTTTTACTTTACGATTATCAATTTTTATTAAACAAGAGAGATCTCGAAAATAAACTGATTTCTGTGAATGTTTGGTAAAACATTTCGAGAAACTGAAATTGAAGAATATTTCTTTTAGGGCTCTCGATATTTCTTCTATACGAGTATTTATTGGTTCGTGTGCAGAATATCTAATCGGCATGTACTCAATTGTTCTGCTTAAAATATTTTGCTGTGTATAAGAAATAAATTTCGTCTTATCAGATCTGTTTATCTACTCTATTGAAGATACGAAACTTAAAATTTATATTTGAACATTATTTGTAAATTGCATTACCTGATGATTTTATTTTATATGCCATTTGAATATGTTTAGTTATTAAAATGAGAACAAAATGTTCACTAAATTCCACTATTGCCGAATAACTATACTTGATGAGCTATGAAACTTCAAATATTACACGGGAAATTATTTTAGGATATAATGTAGATTTAAGACAAAAGCACCTTCTACCAAACATTTATTTATCTCTTCTTTTTTTATATGTTTATATTTTAATGGCAAATGCTAAGGTCATGCAGTTATGGAATTATATTATTTTTCTAACTGTCATTATCTATTAAAGGACAAAATGTTTTTTACATTTTCACCTTAAATATTTTTTATTATTGGTAATTATGTTTTTTTTTTTTCATTAGAGATAAAAGTTCATATGAAAAATTAAACACATTGATATGAGTTTTATCTTCGTCGACTCATATTTTTTCAGCATTTATTTCTGTATTGTTTGAGAAAGGCTTTCTCATAAAGGCTTTATTGACTTTTTCTCGTAAGAAAAAAGAAGATTTCGTGACATATCAAAGTTTCTACGGTTAATTTTTTAAACTTCTTCAATTGTGATAATTATATTAATGAAATAATTAGAATATGTATTATAATGCTTTACTGAATATAATCAAAGACTTTTATTTCGATGATTTTGTGATTGATATAAGTAATAAATGTCGTTTGATTTCGAGCAAATTATTTTATAAATTCTAGCGATCAAAACTACATTCACGAGAGATGATTAAAAAAAAAGACATGACATATCATTGATTGAATACATCCAACAACGAGTTTTGAAACATGATTTTATTTAGTAGCAATCAATTTTGAAAAAAATTTCTCTAGATCTAGACCAGATAAAATTTACTTTGATTATTGGAAACGAAATTGTCAGGACTAGGACTAAAAAAAAACTTGATCGTGCCTACTTATCCTAGGAATATATAAAACATATTTTCTGTGTTTTTGTCTAAATTTAAATTTCTTACTTCATAGTTGTTGCGTTTATATTTTGCTATAAAAAGAAGAACACATATGAAATGTATTCAAATCAAACTTTATCAAAGATATATAACAAAGAAACTTTACATTCTTAAATGTAACTACTATAAAAGCAATTAATATCAGAAATAATGTGGTTTAGGATTGACTGGCTTATCTTTAAACCTTCAGTTTCAAACATGATAATTGATTATAATGTTTTTATAGTGAAGAGATCTACAAAAAGGTTTTGTATTTGTGTAAAGCAAGAGCACAGCTATTTAGTTAAAAGAATTTAAGTGACGAGTTCACAAAATGTTTTTCCTTGTTGTAGACAAACAAAAACACCATTTCTCTTTGTAATTCGTCTATAGTGTTATGACTATCTAAGAATGATACCATCGCATTTTTTCTTATGTAATAGATATTGAAATTGTAGATTGGATCATTGTAATCTATCTATGAGTAATAGTTTTGTTAATATAGTATTTTTTTTTCAAGAGATCTTTTATTCTGAAGATAATAGTATTATAAGATTCTGGTTCTTTTTTGTATTAATTTCTGGAAAATTTTGAACCTTTCATTGTTATGTCTAAGCATCTTTTTGTGCAATTTATTATAATTCTACATAAAACTTTCAAGTAGGAAATTATTTGTGATTGTCATGATGAAGTCTATTAAACTACGCTGTGAGCCATAGAACATACTACTTAAAACAATTACGAGGGCAATATAATCAATAAAATAGAATGATTTCATGGTCATCAATAACAGATTTGTTAATTCAATTATTCGTCTTAAATCAATCAGAAAATCATTGTACATCCGAGATTGCCTGTAATTATTTCATGTAACTTTTTTTCTATTGTTGTGCATACCCGTTTTTATCCAGGCTTTTTATTCAAAAAAAAAATATTTTGTTGATGATATCACTAACGGATTGTACAGTCAATTTTAGTTATATGGTCTTTAAAGCTAAAAATAATTTTATGTTGATATTATATCAAAATAAGTACTATGTTAACAACGATAATAAGCAACATATTATTTGTTATATCTTTGTTCTGTCTAACGAGGGAACATTCCCAACTGTTAATCGTCGATTGAAGTGATATTTTGCCCATAAGTAGGACTCAGTGAGACTAGAAAAAGTCTTAAAGAATTCATTCCCATATGCCTTCCTTCTGGAGTTATGATCATTTTACGAACTTTTCAGTGTATGACAAACTATTCATAAAAATGTGAAAAAGAAGGAATTTTCACCTGAAGTTTTTCAATAAGCAGGTCTTATGATCTTTAGAACATCTTGAAAGTTTCAGTCAAAACGGATGGTTCCTTCTCGAGATATTAAATGTTCAAAAACACGATCACACATCACATAAAAGGTCATAAAAACGACTTTTCTTTAGTATTCAATAACTCGAGAAGGAACCATCCGTTGTGACTGAAAGTTTCAGGATGTCCTAAAGATCATAAGACCTACTTATTGAAAAACTTCAGGTAAAAATTCCTTCTTTTTCACATTTTTATGAATAGCTTGCCATAAGCTGGAAAGCTCGTAAAATGATCATAACTCCAGAAGGAAGGCATATGGGAACGAATTCTTTAAGGCTTTTCCTAGTCTCACTGAGTCCTACTTATAGGCAAAATATCACTTTGATCGACGATTAACAGTTAGGAATGTTCCCTGGTAAGTTGGCCAATAGTGTCAAGTTACTTTTCGATGACTTTATCTAATACGTTCTTCTATTAATAGTTAGTGTGTCCACCCTTGATTCCTTATGTTGTATATAAAGACAGCAAACATCATTTTGAAGATTCTAAGATTTGTTCATCTATGCATACCAGGACCGAAAATGAACTCTGAGTCTTAACTTTAGTACCATGATAGCTCATGTGTATCAATTGAAAAGTATAAATTAAAATTTTCACACATGCTTTATTATCAATCAGTTAACTGAACTTTTTTAAAACCAAGCAGTAAACTTTTGAGAGTATACAACATTTAAGGATAAGACAACAATTTTCCTAGTTTCAGATGCACTACATAGTAGTAATAATTATTACAGGATTAAATTAAACATAATTCAATGTTATAATAATAAGTTTGAAAACGAAAGTTTTGTCTTAAAATTAAGAAGAATCTTTATCCCTAGAATTTTTCAAACGACTTTTATTGTTTTCTATGTATGTATAATGCACTGTGCACTTGTGCCTATGACTTTTATCTAGCAAGAAAATAACTAAGAAAACAATAATAATATAACAAATTGAGAAGCAAATGTCAGTTCACGAATGATGTTCAAAAAGAAAGGCCATGTTGAATATAAAAAGAGATCCAGGTGACAAAGAGAACGGCACTTTATACGAAATATCACGACTTGTAGAGCGAGCTTCAGTCAATGCAGAATGTTAGAGTCAATACCGAGCATACAAAGAAAATTAGATTAGGTAGCTCTATGGTGACTGACAAAAGTGTATAGCAGTTATATTTTTGAGCTTTCTCGATAGTAACAATTAGGAAGAATATGGAAAAAAAGTATTTGAGTAACTAAAAGGATATTCTATCAGAATTAGTGGACCTAAAAACTTCAGTGAAACTGTTTGGATGAAGATATTTGGAAAACAAGGATCTTTCCAAAAAAAAAACACAATTTTATGATATTCATTTTATATTTTGTAAAAATATTTTTATTGGACAAAGCGAATAACTCTAAGCAAAATAAGATGTTACCCTTTTCTCTATGAGTTTGCTTCGTCCAGATATATTCATTTTACAGAAGACTCACGAAGCATTTTTCTTTTGTTTTTATTTAAAAAAAATTATAGTAGAACATCTCATCAATCAAATAAAAAAATTTCCAAAAAGTTTTAAATGAATGCCGGAAAACTAGTTTTAGAAGTCTTACTACTCAAATGTTTTTTTTTTCAAATTCTTCCTAGCTATTAACATCGAGAAAAAAAACTCAAAAATACAAGTGCTCTAAATTTATGTTTCTCATTACAGTGTTCATTTCTTCTGTGAAAACTGCTTTGACTTATACATACGTCAATAATAGTGAAAGGCTTAATCTTCGAAAATATACACGATGAAAACATGTGGATAATTGATAGAGTTTTTCTCAAACTATATAATAAGGCATTTTCAATCAAAGAACTTCAGACAATTTTTACAACATATAAATGTTGACAATATTTTTCTGTCAATAAAACATTTAAATGATAATAAATTAAAACTTCTTTAAAATATTTTATTTCTCTCGTCTTGAAACGTTATAACGCCTTGCAGTAAAAAACAAAAAGGTAGAAAAGGAAAAAATAGTTTTTGTTACAAAATGTAGGTGACAAACCAAGTGCGACCTCTCTTTTCCTGTCTATAGCTAACTTTCTTTTGTTGACAATAGGTTATTACATGGAAAATAAATATCGTAATAATGTTTAGTTTATTTGTTACCATGACAACGATTCAAGAATCTTACAGATTTTACATATAAAAATATTTTACTTCACATAATAAATTATAGCAATGAACAATTCTAATCATAACAAAAGCAATAATGAATATAAACTCGATCTTGTAAGTTTACCAAATTTCTTTATATGAAAATTTTCTCTTTTCTTTTTTTTTTTTTTTGTAATTTAGTTGTCGAGAAAATTCGATGATGATTGGACTCATGCAATACATCAAGAACTTAATATTAGACGGCGAACATGCACGACATTTATTCCGAAAACTCCATCAACAAATAATCAGTATGTTATTTTTATCATTTAATTAAAATTTACATTATGAATTTTAGTACAAGTAGAAGTAATATTCAATGTGGTTGTAATCGTCTTTATCGTGAACATTCATGGGATGTTATGAATGGAGATGAACCTGTATGGAATCGAAATAAACATACAAAATCAGCATGTAACAATGCATATGGATTTATTCCAAATTCTCGTACTCATTATATAAGATGTGATATTGAAACTCAACCAAATATTCTTGCTAAATTAATGTTTGATGTATGGAAAGTTAAATTTCCACGATTAATTATGTGTATCATTGGTGGTGCAAAATATTTTAAGTTAAATGAACGACTTGAAAGAGAATTTATTAAAGGTATTATTCAAGCTGCATTAAAAGCAGGTAAATTAAAAAAAAAGAGAAAGTTCGAACAAAATTAATTGAATAGTTTTTTTTTCTTCTTCTTTTTTTTAATAATAGATGGTTGGATTGTTACAACAGGTTTTCGAACAGGTGTTGTACAATTAGTTGGTGAAGCTATTCATGATCATAAAGTCACTAATCCAAAAAGTCATATTACGGCGATTGGATGTTCAAAATGGGGAGCAACAAGAAATCGAGAAGCACTAATTTTAGTAAAAAAGAAAATCGAAATAAAAATTTTGTTAAATTATAAATTTTTGGTTATTTTTTTTTTTTGTTTTCTTAGAAAAAACCATCGATTAATTCTAATATTGATGTATCAATAAATACATCAAAAAATGAAAAAGGTCAACAAGATCTTGAACCTAATCATACACATTTTCTTCTACTTGATGATGGTACTTATTATGGATATGATATGGGTGATTATAGAACAAGATTTGTTACTGAAGTTTCAAAGTATAATGGTGCTAATGGTATTGATATATTCGTTTATTTTATCTTTTAAATTTATATGTTTAATTCTAGTTCCCATAGTAACAATTGTTGTTGAAGGTGGTCCAGATACATTATCAGCAATTTATAATGATCTTCGTGTTGGTATACCGATCGTGTTGGTTGATGTAAAAATTTTTGTTCTATAATATAATTATTGTTTATTGATATTATTTTTGTTTTTAATAGGGTAGTGGGCGAATACCTAATCTTCTTGCTAATTTTCTAACTTGTACCGAAACAATGATTAATCGAAATGAAAAACCAGATGAAAATTCTACAAATTGGAAAGAAGTTATTGATATTGAAGATACTGAAAGGTAAATATTATATTTTTGATATTTTAATTGTTTAATAAGTTCTTATTTCTATTTGAAGATTAAGAAATTTATTTTCTCGTTATGAAGAAGAAATACGTAATGGTTTAAAAGCTATATCAAAAGGATCAAGAACATCAGATAAACAAATGGATCAGTTATTTAATTATTTTCTTTATTGTTTACAACCAGCTGTCCGAAGTAAAATACAAATATATAGTCTTGAAAGTAATCATGATTTAGATGATATTATTTTTGAAGCTATTATTCGAGGTATAGATTTGAGGATATACTTTGAATAGAAGTATTTTTTTTTGTTTTGTTTTTGTAAATTTTATTACTTGTAGCAAAAGAAAAGAAAAGTTCTGAAATTAATTCAGAACTTGATCGTGGACAATTATTAGAATTAGCACTTGCATGGGATGCTATTGAAATAGCAAAAGAACATATTATCAAAGATGATTTAAATGATCTTACTGTAAGATCAAAGAAAATATCATTAAAAGATTCTTATCAAATGTTGTTTTGCTTTTTTTTTCTTAGTCCGAAACAAAAGATAAATTATTTTTCGAAGCACTTATTCTCGATCGTCCACAATTTGTTAATACATTTATAAAATTAAATTTTAATTTATCTGAAATGTTTTATGAAAAACAAATAAATAAACCATGGAAATTAAAATGGAATCAATTAGCTAAATTATATAATGATAATGACAAAAAGACAGTAATATTAAAAAAAAAAAAACGAACTATTTTCTCTTATTTCATGATAAAACTTAATTTAAATATTTTAGAAAGAACGCCTTTATTTACTTGAAAAATGTCATGGAAAAAATCAAATTGATTCTGAATATGAACTTGATCGAGTATTACGCAAATTAATTGGTGATTATATGATACCAATTTATACACATTCAGTTGTTGGTTCTCTTAGATGTTGGAAATTTTGTTGTGGATATCCACAAACAGCTCGTATTTCAGATAGTTGTGCTTGTTTACATATGAATAATGATGATAATGAATCAGAAATATTAAATCCAGAAGAAGCTCGAAAAGAAGTTCAAGAACTTGTTTATCGTGATTTATTTATTTGGTCTATTCTAACAAATCGTATTGAAATGTCAAAAGTTATATTAAATTATATGGAAACACGTATATGTGCTTTATTAATAGCATCAAAAATCTTCAAGTCATATTTTAATTTTGCTGTGGATAATGAATCAAAAGATGTATTACGTTCTCAAGCTGATCAATTTGAAGAATACGCTAATGAATGTTTAAAATGTTGTTATAATTATGATGAAGAAAGAGCATGTGAAATAGCTATACGACGTATTAATATATTTGGTGGACTGTCCTGTCTTCAAGTAAAATAAAATTTAGAAACAAAACGAATAAAAAAAATCATTTAGCCTTCTTATTATCAACATCCTGAATACAAAACATTTTTTAAAGTTCTTAATTTTTGACTAATTTATCTATTCGATGGTCCATCACAATAGTTGTTCCATTTGACTCTTCTAAAAGTCATAATTTAAGTAGAAGTATTGTATTATCATGTATAGATATGTTTAGGATTATGCGCATAATTTCAGACTTTTGAGGTCGTATGCATTATTGTCTTTTCTCATATCTTGCAGATTAATTATGTACCTTATTCAATATGAGTTCGAATTCACTCTTTACTAAGCAGAGTTGGCAAAGTGCTGGATTGTCCACTCATCAATAGATAACATGTACTGGATTAAAAACCCTTCCGTGAGACAGATTTGTTTTACTCTAGATTGAATTTTGTCGTTAACGTAAGCAAATCATGGTACGAGATTGTTCGCATGAGAGTTCAAACGTATATCGAAAATAGCGTATGACTAATCTGAAAGACATAAGAAAATACAACAATAGGCAAGATCTACAAAACTGAAACTTTGTACATAATCCTACATATGTCTATGCATGATAATCGTATATTTAAACTTTTCTAGTACTCCATATAATATCGAAGTGCAATATTCACTGTCATGTAGAAGACACTCTGATACATATATCTATGTTAAAATCATAATAGGATAGAGATTAATAAGGTAACAAAACTGATGAGCTTATGAAAGACCGCCAATACATCATTTTTAGATATTACAATACCATAAAATCAAAACATATGCATAGATGCAATCGATTTACAAAATTTCGAAATAGTTTCCATAGAAATATGAATAGTGCATAGTAAATGCTTTGAATTTGAAGTTCCAAAGAAATTTATTTTGTTGGTAGACTCATGGTATTTAAAGTGTGAATTATATTTTCAGGTTGCTGTTGATGCTGATGATAAAAGTTTTGTTGGTCAACCATGTTGTAATCAACTTTTGAATAATATATGGTATGATAAAATGGAACCATTTCAATCTGCAATATCACAACGGATTCGATTATTATTAAGTATTTGTACATTTGGTTTACTTGCACCTGTTTTAGTTTCATTTCGAAAAGAACAATTAGTACAAAATATGTTTTTTAATGAACGCAACAGAAAAAATGAATTGATCATTAATGAAAAAGAAGAAGAAAAACAGAAATTCAATTTACGAACATATAAACGGTATAAATTCTATATTGAATTGATCTTATTTCAGTTGTCTTTTAAATTAAAATATTTAGTTCTGAATCGAACCATGAAGTTTTATTTTCATTTATGTTAATGATCGAAACACTTTTGAATCGATCTCGATATATTGTTTGAAGTATATTCTACTAACTAGATATATTCCATTTCTTTCAGCAGATCATAAAATAAATCTCGGAAAATTTATATAATTGAAATAATTTTTGTTGCTTTGATGTAATATTTTCAATCGAGTTAAAATATCTTATTAAATCTAATAGATAATGTTTGATAGTTTGATTTATTTTCTCCTCCAAAAAATAGAATTTTATTGTTTGTTGAAGAAATTTAATTCTAGAACGCTTAGTCAGAATGAGCTTTAAGATGTATTATGTAATTTAGACGTTTTATTATATTCAAAAAAAAAATAACAGAAACTACAAAGTGGTTTCAACTAGATTGAAGGCATTGTGTGTTAGATAAACGAGAAAAGATTTTAGTCTTTAACAGTCTTACACTTCATAAATACCTATAAAGTTATGACTAATTTTGGCATACTGTGAAGTCTAATGATGGAAATCTCCTACATTACTAATAGTTGTTAAGTTGCAGAGATGTTGCATTTTTACAATGTTCTTTCTACAAATACTAGAACAACTCTTCTGAGAAAGCACCAGACGAAACTGTCTTTTGAATTTTGACTTGTAATTTTAAACAGAGATATATCTCAATAAGAATAGTTTATTGGGAAAGTATGAGATTTTTTCATTGTTCCCATTCTGAAATAAAAATATCGTCATCTGCTAGTGCACATGGTGTGATATGAAGAATATATTTTTTTCATGGTCACATTTTAGGATAAAAAGAAACAAAAGATCTGTAACTTCTACAAAAAATTAATATTATTGATATTTCTCTATGTGTAAAACTTCGAATCGAAATAAAACTGAGCTTTTCTTGGTGTTTCTCAGGGAATCATGCCATTCTGCAAAGACAATGAATACTGTCAAAATGTCGTATCTTGACAACAATGAGCTAAGATCCTGAGTTCTTAGTAGAATCTTAATAGATCAATAGGACTTACATGATGCACATAGACTTGATTCAACAGTGAGCGAACACTTCGGAGAGTTTTCTCGTACGATTAAAATGTGAAATAAAATAGAAAAAAAAATGTAGCAAAATGTTTTTGAGTTGATATCGATTATAAAAGTGAATTTTCACAAACATTCTTCACTTGTTTATTTTTTCGTTGATAATTATCATACAAATTTCTATTAAACTAAATAATTTTCTAAAATATTTTAAAAAATTATTTAAATACTTTTCATATAGGTTAAATGATTATGGTATTAATTATTCAGATATATATATGTGGCGATCAAATAAATGTTCAAAATCATATTTAACATATTTTCTTCATTTAAAACACTTTCATGAATCGCCAATTGTTAAATATTTATTTAATTCTATTAGTTTTATTATTTTTCTTCTATTATTTTCTTATTATCTTTTATTTGATTTTCAAATTCCAAAAAATGAAAGTCCAAGTATACATGGGGCAGAAATATTTGTTATTATTACGATCACAACAATGCTTATTGAAGAAATTCGACAAGTAATTTATAAATATAAATGACATAATAGATGAGCCTTCCGTCAGTTGAGCCTGAAATAGGAAATAAATTCAAGAAAATAATCTTTTTTTTTTTTTTAATAAGTCCACATTGACATGAAAAATCAAATTGAGTTGTTGTAATTTCTCAACAAGACGCTCATATTCAATACGTTTCTTTGTTTGAATGTGAGTATAGGTGTTCTTGTTATCGTGATTCACACTATTTCGAAAGTTAATATTGAGCTATTAAAATATTGTTCTTATAATAATTCATCCGTTTCTGATTAGAATTCAACATGAGAAAATCCATTAATTTATAAATCTACCGAACACTTGAAAATTGAATAACTTGCGAAATCAAAAATGAGAGAATGATTGTAAGCCAAACTTGTAAAAGTAAACAATTGTGTTCAATATGAATTCCTTTATATTAATTTATGATAACTTATTTTCAACTTTTCATTTAAAAAGAAGAAACTTATAATTAAAATGAGCAAGAGCTTTGTTAAATTTTTCATGTCAATGCGGATCTACCTAAAGAAAAATATTTCTTTGTATTTCTTTAATTTGTTCATTATATCAGTCTCAAGTGTTGAGAAGTTCATCTGTTGATGTATAATAAATATTCATACATATTTGAATGAAATTTTAGTTCTTTTCTCAAGATCATCGATCAATAATTGGAAAATTAACAAATTATTTTGTAACAAATCAATTTTTTAATTTAATTCATGTTACATCTTATCTATTATTTTATATTGGTCTTATTCTTCGTTTTACAAATACAAATAGTGAAGAGACATTTTCAGCAGCTAAAATTGTTCTTGCTTATGATCTTGAGATTTGGTTTATTCGTTCATTAGGTTTTCTGGGTATAGCACAAAAAATGGGACCAAAACTTGTTATGATTCGTAAAATGGTATGAATTAATAATATCTTTTTTTTTAAACTTATTTTATAAATAATTCTAGACAATAGATTTATTTTTCTTTACATATATTATTTTAATTGCAATTATTGCTTATGGTGTTGCTTCACGAACAATGTATAATTATAATAATGATATATTATCTTTTAATGGTCGATCGATTTTTCGAAATATTTTTTATCCAACATATTATCTTCTATATGGAAATATCGGTAATGAATTAAATGAACTTGATGGTAAAAAGAAAAATAATCATTGATGTATAATACAACAATTTTATATTTTCTTTCTTTGATAGCAAATCCTGATAGTAGTACGTCTATTTCGACTCATGTCTTACTTGCTTTCCATATGTTATTTGTAAATATTCTACTCATTAATCTGCTTATTGCAATGTTTAGGTAAGATGATGAAAGATAAACTATTCTATATGATTTTATTTAGTTTTACATTTGAATCTGTTCAAACTCATACTGATCTTGTTTGGCGTTATGAACGATATATGTTAATCCGTGCATATTTTGATCGACCACCACTTTTTCCTCCATTTATTATTATAACACATATAATTGAGCTTATGAAATTAATTTTCAGACATTTATCGAATCATAGAAACCAAACTGAAACAAAAATATTTAGTAAGTTATTTTTAGCGAATAAAAATGATTTTCATATGATTTTCATATGAACAGAAATGATTGGAGCTAATCGACAAGTTGATAAAGATTGGTCAGAATTTGAATGTTATGCTACAAATCTTTATGTACGATCATTACTTACTAAACAACCATTAACAGCATCGATTCTTGTATCATCAAAAATACGTCAAGAACAAGAATCACTTTCAAATATAACAAGTCATAATTCACGATTTCAATCGAATATAAATCATTTAGATATGAAAACAATTATGGAAGAATTGTCATCGTTAAGAAAAGCTGTTCTAGATCTTCGTACTTATTCAGAAGAGGTAACATTAAAAAGAGAAATTATTTGTTAAATTATTAATTTTTTTTTCTTGTTAAAAAAGATGAATCGATATATGCAATGGATGATGGATGCAATGGAACGTGTTAAAATGTCTAAAGAACCGAAACCAAGATTGAAATCAGCAATAATTACAGATAATTAGATATACTAATTAAGTCTGTTTTATATTCTACATATTCGTTTCTTTTTCCATAAATATTAAACTAATTGATAATTAAACATGTCTGTGATGAAATTCTACGACTATATTCTTTATTTTTGTGTTGTGAATTGTTTTTTAATATATTCTATTATATTGTGCAATAGATTTTATTCAGTCATATGCATGGTACCTTATTGGATTTTCACGAAACTTAGAAATTTGACTAAAAATCAATTCAATTGTAAGGAAAACAGATGAATATGACACTTTCAAAATACATGTAAAAAAAGTTATTCTCACAATTCTTTCGAGATTAATATGTGACATATGATATAGCTGCTGTTGCTAATTATAGAGAGATTATTTTTATTCTATCTACTTTGAGACACATTTCTTCATCATTCTTTTAGTTAATTCGGCAGCACTGTAATAAGGCAATAGTGCATATATTATTAATATATTGTCTTTGATTATGTATATCATCAACATCTATTATCAAGGAGAGCGGAACTCTTCTAAGAAATCTCTCAGAATATTTAGAAACGGAATAAGTACAAATTTCTATTCTATTTACTTCAACATTCTTGTTAGATCGCATCTCAAAAAAAAAAAAAAAACAAAATATCAGATTTGATACATCTTATCGGTATTTGCTATGGAAGCGTCAAAGAATATGAGAATATGGTGATGTGTACATGTAACATTTCTTTTAGAATAATACAATATATCTACAGTCGATAATCTCAAAAATGTAGCTACTAATTTTAAGAGTGCTGATTATTTACATATAGGAATATATGATCCTCTATCAGAAGAAGGTAAAAACCCTTTATAATCTTCATATGTTTTATGACAATCTCGAGATAACTGTAACTGTTTGATATTCATACTGTCTACATTATTTGCCATATAAGTGTTACTAATGCGATTGTTATAAATCATACATTTGTATTATATGATTTCAGTTGCTCGCAATCGAAAATCAAAAATTTTCGATAATACATATATTATGAACAGTCACCATGCAATTGAATAACCTTAATTTGCATTGATAATTAAAATTCATTGAATGTCAAGTTTAAAACTAAGCTTTTTTTTTTTGGTCAATAATAAACTTTTCATAATTTACTTTCTTAAAAATAATGTGCAATCACCAGAGTCATCATCTTAAATTTGAATTCTTTTTATAGGAACCATTTACAAATGATTTTATGCAAAAATATTCAGAAGTAGCTGCATGCATTTTTGTTAAATTAAATAATTCTTCTATTGTGACGCATTGGCTCCTTGTTGTGACTTAAATAGTTGTAGAAATGCTTTATTCTGCACTAATTACTTATTAATAACTAATTTATTAATAGAATTCGAAATTGTGGTTTATTTAACTATAATGGAGAAATGGCATGAGGAGTCTTAGAAGTCGTCGTTACTGTTGATTTTTCCATTTCTATCTTTCGTAAACCATCGATTTACTCAAGTTCAATATAAATTTATTGTCATAGAGACATTCAAGCCAATTCTATGGTAGATTTTTAAAGTCATAATAAGTGCCAACTAATTTTCCATATATGGTAGCTACAGTGTTAGTATCATCACGAAGATTCACAGCATCCAGAGCACCTTATTCGATTGAATTTTTATTAGACTAAAATATGCCTACAGTTGTTTCAAGAGCATTAACAATATATTCTTTGACTCGAATCCCATTCTCATATACACTTGGTCTTTAACAAGAACATGGAGCGATTGCTTTCCATGGTACCTTGGTCAATTTCCCCACTGTGGTCAGAAAATTCAACTGTATATAGTAAGAATCAATAGAAAAAAAAGTGGTATTGGTGCTAGACATATAAAAGCTCCATTATCAACGACTTTATCGTCATCGCGATAGATTTTAAATTTACCCAGAAGTTTTTCATCGCAAAAAGTTTGCTTATTGTTCAACTTTAATGTTGTATTTCTTAGCAAAACGATTTGAAGACCCTCAAACGAAAGCAGGAAATCACAAGTAATATTGACAAGATCAAAACAATACCCAATTCGTGTCATGTATCTTTGCCTAAATCATCATTTGTAGCTAACTTGCTGATTATAAAGACTAAAATCGCATCTGATAACTAGTGACTTAGCCAAACGATATGTCTTAGAAGGTATCGTTAATGAACTATAATATTTATATTATTTATTCTGTGATTGATGAGGAAACATCTATTGAACTGACAACATATAGAAGCCTTAAACATAAGCTTTTTCTAATAATACCTCTTGACTCAAGCAGTCCTCACATGTTCAAGTAATGATCTGTTCCACGCACGTTCTTACTGCTACATGTTTCTTTATTAGCAGTAAATGTGTATGTTTTTGATTATATGAGAGACCAGCATCATATAACTTAATTATCAGCGTGTTGCTTACGATTAATTGAAGAGTTATTTTTCACAATATATAATTAATATCGATAAAAGCAGAAAAAATTGTAAACGTGAAGAAAAGTGTATATGAACCAAATCAGCTTTATGATAATCATCTCAGAAAATTATGAATCTATCAGTAAAGAAATTCAATAGTCATAGTAGATTGATCAGTCTTCGGAAAAAAAAAGAATTCGAAGCATGTCAGATAAAACTAAGGTTACTATCGTATATGTTATGCGTGAATAATTCATACCTAATGAATAACTTCCAATCAAAGTTCTAGAAAAATTTTACCGATATCTACAGAAATATCTTAACAAATTCTAAGACAATATAACAATATATGTTGACTTTTGCGGCAGATTTTGGAGATTAACAAAAAGCTGAGTATATCATTTGATCACATTCGTTACGTTATATTTCAATAAACAGTACGAACTCTAGAATAAGTTCACAGATAAATCCAACAGATAAACCTTTTTAACTATTTGTCCTATGCCAAAAAAAATTGAACAATAAAAAGCGCTGAGTAAGTTTTATTTGATACAAAAAAAAAATTTATATGTATATGAAAACAAATATGACATTTGAGTTCAAAAATAATGATTTTCTCAGTAATGTTATCCTCGCAGGAATCAAAGTTCCTGAGGCTTCAAAGTAGCTTCGTGGAGGATATTATGAGCTTGGTAATTGTTTACTATTGTTCTTGTCATTATGTTTTCGGCTAGGAGATATTAAGCCAACTGAACCTGTACCCAATGTTTTTTTCGAGCGTGCTTCTTGTTTTTGTTTAGGTGCCGGTGGTAGTTGAGTTACACACTCAGCTGCTAGAGTTGATGATAATTGGTTGTTTTGAGTTTGTTTATCAATGGTAACTTGAAAACGAGACTCACCGGGCATTGGCCGATCAAGACGCTGTTCTCTAGCATGAGTTTTGGGTATACGCGATTGAGATGTACTCGATTTCGGCGATGAACCTTTCAAGGTCCTTAGAGGAGGTTGTGAAAAAGAAAGCATATCTTGCGAAGTGTAGTTTGGTTCTGATTCTATAAGGTCATCATGTTTATTCATTTTGGAGTGTTTTGTTGGTGCTGGATGTCCTGGTCCGGCTCGGCTTGAAAATGAAGTCTTTCCAGATGATTCGACATGTTTGTCTGAAGGACGCCGTTCGACAAGCAATTTCGAATTTTTATTATCATGGTCATATAATCTTTGATTCAAAGTCGTTCGCACTATTGAACCGTATTCATCTTTATTAGTAATTGGTTGAGTGTAGCGTAGTGGCAAGTTGTGCTGGTTATTGTCAAATGGTGTTTTTCCAGAATAGTGGATCGTATTATCTGAATGAACAAATTCTTCATTTATTAAAGGATATACATTCAATCTTGGTCGGTTGAGAGGTTCACCGATAATAATTTCCTCAAACTCAGGTTCAAAAGTAAAATGCGCGGCCATATTATACTGTTTAGGTGTTTCTTTTTTTTTCGGCGAAATTATTGGAGAGCTTGAAGGCTTCGTAGAAAGCTCTGATTGAACTTTACGAAGTTTTGTTAGATTTTCGTATTTTTCTGCGCTTGCTGTTTCATTATATTCCGTTGAATGAGTGATAGTAGTAGCAGCACCCCTTCGCGGATGAGTTGGATTTAAGGTCAGGTCATGTTTAGCTATTTTAGTACTCGTTGCATCTGAATAAAGTGCATATGGCCAAGATGACATATTTGAAGATGAAGTGTCTGATGGTCGCCACATCTCTCCTTCATAAGCAATCCAACTGCCCAAGTTTAATATAAATTTTCTAGCATAAACTTGTTTAAGCCAAGATCGAGGCAGTTTTTTGTAGCCATAGTAAGCACCAGCTAATTGTCCATATATGGCAGCAGTTGTATCAGTATCATCACCAAGATTCACAGCAGCAAGAGCACCTCGTTCAAATGAGTTTCCATCAGACCAAAATGCCCATAAAGCTGCTTCAAGAGCATTAACTATATATCCTTTACCTCGAATTCCATCTTCATATCCACCTGGTTTCTGATAAGAACCTTCAGCAATCTGTTTAATCTCATTACAAAGAGGTCGTTCACCAAACCATTCCATATGTTTAGAATAAAACTGTTTATCAAGAAGTTGCTCTTTTGTGTAATCCTGAAGAGCAGCAACAATAAGAGCACTATAGTAACGACATGCATCATAAGCTTTTACATCACCATGAGTGATCAGTGCACTACGACCTGCATATTCTACAGCATATTTTGGAAATCGATAGAAAAAAAGTGGTACTGGTCCGAGGCGCATAAGAGCTCCATTACCAGCAACTTCAGTATCGCTACAATAGACGTTAAATTCATGGATGACATGTTTATCATCGGCAACATAGTCTATTTCTTCAGCAGGAATGTTATATTTCTTAATAAAATCCATTTGACGACTCTCGAATTCTTGCAATGATTGACTCGTAGATAGACCAATATCAAAGCATTTTCCTGTTGATGACATGTATCCTTCTCTATACCACCATTTGTAACGAACTAGTTGATCATAGAGATTTAAATCACCTTTGACTACAAGTGAGTTAGCCAAACAAAGTGCCATGGAAGTGTCATCAGTGAACTAAAAATGTTATATTTCCATGGAATAAAAAAATTTTAAAAAATAATGACTTTTATGTGAAAAAAAATGGCATTTTTCATGATGAAACAGGCATAATTATGCATGTATTTGATGTTCATCTTAATCAATGAAAATCAAATACATGTATAATTAAGTCCGTTTCATCATGGAAAATTCCATTACTGTAGTAGGGAAAATACCACCGAAAAGCCTTTAAATATCATCCTAATTGTTATGAAACATTCATTCACAATAAAAAAAAACACCAGAAGAGAAGAATTTATCTTATTACTAAAAATACTTTTCAAATGTTTTTGAATAAGATTTTATTCTATTTTATATTTCTAAACGGAGCTTTTTGTGGCGAATTCGAATGCTGTTACAATACTATGCAAGTAGTACACATCCAGAAAGTTCTTTTCTATTGCAAATTCTAACATAGAGAGATATCTGTATAATACACTTCTCACGTGTGTAAAATGCTATACTTCAATCTATGCGATCGTGCCTTTAACTACATGTGTGTAGTTGAAACAGAGTTTTGTTTTCATCAGAAATAGTGGTTCCGAAAAATAAAAAGTGTCGATTTTGAATATATATTCAACTATCCATGCATTAAAACACATATGATCATTTTTATGTAGAATAATATCGAATAAAAATATTTTTGTTAATGTTTCCTTTTCGAAGACATGCAAACAGACTATATCGAATTTTTCATCAAACCAAACAAAAGCATATGCCGGGTTAATATATTCATTAAAAGGTATTTATTTTCTTTACGAAAAGTGGATATTGAATTAATCGCCTATGCAATATAATTTGAAAAGATGTAGACAAAAAAAGTCGAATTAGATCTATTGTGAAACACTAAGATAATATGAAAAAGCATCTCTTGTGTTAAAAATTGATTTATGAAGTATAGATACTATCCGATGAATACAGCGTTGCTATCAGTTTTGAACGGAACTGTTGATAAAAGGTTTTCTCAGTGAAAATAACAAGGTAACAAATAAAGTAAATTACTTTCTGACACACTGTCTGGAAATTTACTGGCATTCGTTGATGAAATACAGTAGAAAAGCATATTTTAATTATTCGCAACGATTTCTCGAAGTTTATATATATAAAGAAAAATTGAACTTTTACTTTCGTGTTTTAGAGATGGTAACGAACAATTCTCAACTACAAGATCCTTTCTTGTTCTTCATATTTATGCACTATCCACAGAAGAGCGATTGACAGTATGATAATATTGTTTTTAATAACACTAGCGAAGTTTTCGAGTCAATCTTCAGTTATAGAGTCACCAGTGGATTCGCTAAAAAATATGTGGAATCCTAATGACTTTACAGAAAGTTCATGAAAAACATGTAGTTTGTGAAAGTTTGCTGAAGAGTTGATGAGGAAGGACATGTCTTCTATGGTTCGAATGCAGCATTCATTTTTTAAAAGTATTACAGAGAATCAATTCTATTTTTTATATAAAAATTGATGGCACTAACAATTAAAGGAGTAAGTCTTATTTGCAAAATATAAAGAACTTTTCTCATATACGGACGAAGAACATATGAGAAAAATCACTATCCCTGCTTCCGTCTCAGTGAGAAACAGTACGCATCAAGACTTCATAGAACTTCTAGACTTAAAGACTGAAGCCTCTGCTGTCTTTTCCATCGCTTTTCACCTGTTCCCCCTCCTCCTCCTGACACGAAGTGTATATGAATGTGATGATAAATGGCATCGTATGTGACCGTTGACAAAAGTCATAATAATCACTGTGAAGTTTCAACAAATACTCAGTGAATCCTCAGTGGGTTTCTTACAAAGCCTTAGAAGGCTCTGTTGCTATTCTTCGGGAGTGCTGTAAAAGACTCCTTAAACAGTCTTTTAAAGATAAAATATAAGGATATTGACTTTAGGCTATCAAAATAAATACCGTCATAGCAAAGTAGCATGGATACTCTACCAAAAATTGAGAGCGAGAAACAGCGATCGTCAAGACTTTGAAAAACTTCATAGAGTTTCTAAAGGCTAGATAAGACTTCAGAATTTCTAGGAGATTTCAAACCGAAAGCTTTCACTATTCCTCGTCTGATCTCGAGAAATTATCTCATAAGGGAATCATTCACATTGATACCTGCCGTTTGAGTCCATATTATGCCTATAAGAATGTCTTAATAAGACTAACTAAACTGTAAAAGATTCGTTCCCGTAGTCCTTGGATCCGAATTATGATCGTTTTTCTAAGTGTTGGGCTCATCTTTTAAATATTGACCGAAAAATCAAGAAAACATTCAACGTAAAATTTTGTATATAGATAGGTCTAATCATTCATACGATGTCCTTAAAGTTACAGCCAAAAATAATGCTTTTATTATCAAGACATTGCAGTTTAAAGTGGGCTCGATTTTTCTATCAAGCCCGCCGCAAGTGATTATTTATTTTAGATATTTGATATTTTGAGAAATGAAGATTGCTTTCAGCTAAAACTTCTAGAATGCTTCACGAGTCGTTCGATCTATAAGAGAGCAAAACTATTTGACAAAATTCTTTTTCTTTAATTTTTTTTATATGCATCTAGAGCTGAGTCGAAAATTCAATAATAAGATTCCAACTCGGCTTCAAAAACTAATAAAGACAAACCTTTGTAGTCTTTTTCTAACCTCACTGAGACATCCTTGTGAGCCAAATAGAAGCTCAAAAAGTAGGTCTCATTTCGGTTGGTTCTTTCCTCAATTGAGGGAATACAGAAAAGTACATGTGAGTATATTGAGTGTTCTGCATTGAAAATGTTGTCGTAAGTTATATGACGAAGTGAACTAAATTCTCTCATTTTCAAAATTCCAAGTGCCTAACAAGTATTGGAGAGTAACCTAACACTGAAAAGTATATGCAATCAATCAATAGCACGGCACGTATTCGGCTATTCTGAATTTAGTATTCTCAATATGAAAAACTCTTCTGAAGAAAAGACTTTACTAATAATATTTTGAGTTTCATTCTAATATACAGTGTGATGAAATTATAATACCTGTCTTTTCTTAAGACCCCACGTTCCTCCTGCTTGAAAATCAGTAACAGGCTTTTCAACCAAATATTGATGGGGTCGAAATTGTACGTGTGCACCAAGAGCATCACCTATTGTCATTCCGATCATAGACCCATGGACTCGGTCTAATATCTTTTCATTGAGTGGACTTCGTGGTTGTTTCATGTCATTTTCTAATTCGTGTGGCATTTTTATAAATTTTTCATTAAGATCATGATATTGAAGCTCGAGCCAGGACTTATCTAAATAGATTTAATTAGAATTAATAGAAAGCATTGTCTTTTCATCTCAAAAACTTTTCTTTCTTTCCAATTGTCTTCATCTTTCAATTTAATATAATTACCTGATAAACTGACGCTTTGATCTCTTTGCAAAAAATTATCTTTAAATGCTTCACTTGATTTGAATTGACTTGATTGAGCCTGGCGAGCTTTTGATGATTCTAAAAACATTTCAATGCACAACTCTGATGATCACAATAAAATACAATCATTATTAAAGAAATATCTTTACAAAAAAAAATCAAATGAAATCGAATCAATGATCGAAATTTGCTGTTCTTTTCCAATGAACTGCAATTTTTTTCAGTACTCATTCTTATGTGTGATGCTTGAAACTGAGTTTGTTTTTACTTTGTTCGATTCGTTTAGTTTGAGCAAAACGTTGCCTTCTAACATCTGAATAATCTCATTATATGATCAGTCAAATACCTTTTGAAGATAAATAACGAAACGTCATGTGTGACGTGATTATGCAGGCTTGTTTTGCTTGTTTTTCTATCGTTGACAAGATGATTGACTCAAAATAAGTAACGCCTCACTACTTTTCTTTCTCATCATCGATCCTCGTTACTACTACGTCATTTGTAAATGAAGCATTGTACAAGAAATAACAGAAAAATATGAAAAATATTTTTTATAATCACTTGTATCTGTTTTCAATAAAAAGAGAACAGTATAAGAAAAACTTACTTCTTCTAATCATGTCATGAATATGTTGTACATTGCTTTTGAAATTCTTGATAGTTTTAGACATGCTAATGGATGAATGTGCTTGCTTCCTTTTTTGTCGCTAAAGAGTGAGTTATCGTGAAAAGAAAAAATTTTTTTCTTGTTCGTTTTTGCTTCACCACACAGTGCATATCGTGCAGCCCACCTGTTGTTTTTTTTTTCGATATTCATATCGACAACGACAGAAACACAAAAAAATTTATTTGAAACGAAGCATAAAATAACATGTGTCATATTATAGATTGCTTTTTCTTCTAGAGAATCAGAACATGAGAAATATATTTCAATCATTCGATGTGAAAAGGTTTGTAAGATGGGAAGCGAAACCTGTTGACCGTGTCAAAGAGAAAAAAAAAGTTTTTATGTGTCATCTTTACTCACTCGAACATTTAAACAGAGTTAAAATCTAACTCAAGCTAGGAAGAAACAAGAAAAATATTTTGTTTTTTAACAATATTGTCTTGGGAGACTGCAATATTTTTTTAATCGAATAGTACGAAAAAAAATATTTTGAAATTAGACTAAATGATTTCCCATAAATTACAAATGTGTAATATACGACGACTATATAATCAGAATTTTTAATACTTTTTTTAAACCTCGCTCAATTTTAAGAATTCCACATAGATTCAAGTTTTCAATGCAAAATTAAACTGAAGATTTCGAGTCGAAAAATGAGTTTTATTAAGACAGATGGAAAAATCAACAGATATTGCTTGAAATACTTAGAAAATCATTTATCTATTGAAATGTTAATATATATTTCTCAAAGAAATTCACCAAAATTACTGTTTATATGTTGAAAATTGTATACTTTGGCTTATTTTACAATAGATGCAAAAGAAGAAAAATACGATTTCTTCATTGTTTACACTGTTCTGTATTCCTTACTTAATGAAAGACTTCGACAATATAAATTAAGTAATGGATGAATCATTGATGTTGTTGTCGACACGTTCTTGTTCTTTTTTTTTGTAACGGAACGAATACATTTGAATAGACAATGAATAATTAATCGATTCAAATATTGAAGCTTTTCTTGACGGTTTAAATGAAGAAACGAAAGATCTTTTTCTTCAATAATAATAGTCAATTAGAGTTTTGTGTACATGGATTTAGAAGACAATCATTTGAGACAGCAAGACAAAACTAATAATAAATTTTCATCGTTTAGAATCGTTTGCATAGAAGATTTATTGTAATACAAATAAAAATATTTTGATGATAAAAATCTTCCTGCTTTTTTTTAACTAATTATTATCTGAAAATTTATGAAAAATGGAAAAAAAAATGAATTAAATATTGGTTAGACTATCAGACCGTTTTTTGTATTAATTTTCAGATTGCTTTAGCTGTTTACCAAGACTATATCTCTATGGGACAATCATGTTTTTATAGCATTTGTATTAGTTTAAAAAAAAAAAATTAGTAAAACTGCACTGATATGAAGTTAATTGTCCATTTCATTGAGAAAATAGAATAATTATTGTTCTAGAATGAGTGTTCATTTTGTTTCTGTTAAGATATGTTCTAAAAGAAGAATAACATTATATTTGTTTATGTATCATTTAATTCCTATTCTGTTTGTTTTTGCTTTGTTCTTCATATAAGCATTGATCTAGTATAAATGTTGGTCTGCTTTATTATCATGGATTCATTTTCACAGGTTAAAATTTATAATCAGATATTATTCGAGCAAATTCATTTTATTAATTAAAGATGAATCAATTTAATTCTTATCATCCTTTTTTTAAACTGAAATAATACAATAAGTATAAACACTAGCTCTCAAATCATCCATTGTTTAATTGTTTCAATTAAAAAATGTTAATGAAATGTTCATTTCTTTAAAAATGAATGAAATAAAAAAGATATGAAAAAATTTATTAATTACATTATAATCATTATGGGACTAAAGTTATTGAATGAGTAGTTTATAAAAATTTCATTTCTTTATTAATGTAATTAACAAATAATTTTGATGACTGATGACAATTTATCGATGATAATGTCAAGATAAATTAATAGAAGGAGAAGAAAAACTGCTTGAAATGTTCAACGAATTTTTAACATGACTACAAATATTCAACTTCTTATTAGACACTGAATTTGATCATGGAAAATTATATGGCAGAGAATAATCATGATTTTTTTTTGTATTTCATCGGTTCGAATCAATTGTAAAAAACAAGAGACTATATCTTGTTTCTTAAGAAATATTTTCTTTCGAACATTTTAAATGAAGAGATCTACCATTTGATAATAGGAACAAATCTACGGCGTTTACTTTCATTGTTATTGATATTTTTTTTTGTAGTCACAGTCATATTTATTGGCAATCGAAGAACGAATCTTTGCTTGATCATTATTTCAAAAAAGAAAAAATCTTCATGGGCTGACGATTTGTATGTTTTCGTCAACTGAAATCCATCTATTATCACATTTTCAATTGCATTGTGTAAGAAACTAGACTAGTCTGAAGTATCTGTAACCGTAATTAGTGATGCAACTATTTAGTAATAGCAATTTTATTAATGATACAAATTTTATAGTTCGAACTTGTTTTCTTTCTTATGTCCCACAGCATTGAGTAATAATAGTGAAATTATTCAAGTGTTACTAAATTAATCTTGATTGAATTTTTATGGATAAAAAGCAGTTATTTCTTTTTGAATATTGTCATAGTATACAATTTATTTCAGGTGAGAAAACAGTTTGCGATGAACTCAGTTAAATTATCATTTTTCCATTTGCCTCCTAGAAAAATTTATTTTAATTGATATTATTTTTTACTGATTGCTTCGAAATCATTTTCAGAAAAGAATTTTTAGTGAAGAAATTTGATTATTACTTGAATTTCATAATGAAAAATTTTAATTATTCATATTGAAGCTTGGTTAAACAATTTACTAATGAGAATTAAATATTAATATCATAATTTGTTGCAAAATAAACTATTAAAATCACATACAAATCTGAAAAGTAATGAAAATGATTGGCCAGGTTCTCGATGAATGATATACGGACAGTTTCAGCCAGGAAATTTTAGAAAATAGTAGGAACTGGGAAAAATTAATATTATATTCAGAATTTTGTGATTCAATAATCCTGATTCTGACTAGAAACGACTATAAGCAAGGAAAACTGACTATCGAACATGATCGTCAGTTACCTACTTCTAAGTTTCTCTTATCTTACAGAGTTTTTCTACTGGAAGTTCAAAACAAATCATTGACTTAGGTCTTCACAAACTCACTTACAGTATCACTAACTTCATTTGATTGGTTTTTTTCTTTTGAGATAAAATTCTACTTATTGACATTTCTAAAAACAAAATTGTATGAGAGTATACGAGGTAGACTGAATTAACCCTTTCAGAATAGGATTCTTTTTTCTTGAAGTCAAATAATGAAATATGAAATCAGTTAAAGTGAATTTATTAGCAGTGCTAGTTAGATCAATGATCAAGAGTATGCATAAATAGATCTAAAACTGTTTCGGAATAAGAAACGTCTATATGTTCTCCCTTGTTTTATCCTATTTATTTGTTTGCATCCAAAGAAAGTCGTTTATTATTCAAATGAACAAAAAACATTTTTATAAATGTCATTATTAAGTACAAATGAACTAGCTCAAATTTTACTATTACACTTTCAACAACTTTCAAGTTTCGATCTACTATTATCTGTTAACACGACGGATGACAAACACAATAAATCCTAATGCATTGTATTTTTTATTTTAATGATGTTTCAATTAATTACCAGTCCTGTTAATATGAAACATCAAGATAATGAAAAAACTATTTTTGTGAAAACAGTGACGAGAACTTCTATGTTATTTGTTTAAAATTTTAACCATATGAAATGAAGGAATGCAGCCATTAATGATATCAATTCCATACAATCATTGAAGACTGTTGATAGACATATCGAGTGTGAATTATATGTGTTTATAACTCATGCGTATTTATAGTTTATTTTACATAACAATCATAGATAGTAAGCCAATACTTCAACTACTAATGAAAATTTATTGTGAGAAGTCACTGACAATGAGTAATCTAATATAGATTAAGTTGAAGTATGAAAAAAAAAATTTTTTTAAGATATATCTCTCGTTATAACAAGAACCAAATTGCTTTGTTAATACATTTCATCAATTATCAAAAATACATTAAAATATGATTGTTGTCTTTAATCAAGACTAAAATCAGGTTAACTAAAGAAAAAGTAATGAAAACAAACGGTTTCTTTATAAAAAATTGTACTTAGTGGAATATATTGATGATACTGCTCTTAAGAAATTCAGTATATATCGTTGTATTTATGACAACAGTGTAAAACTAAAGGATTAAATATAATTATTGTAATAGAATTTTAAGCGACAAGTGATTTAGTGTAAATATTGACTGATCTAGACGATTTCTGAATATGTTTTGTTCTTTATTGAAATATTTCGATGCATTTTTACTATTTAGTAGAAAAGTTGAATATTTCAGAGAGATTATTTATTTACTGATGAGGCACTATCTGTTTAATCAATCCTACTGATTGAAGATGATACTTACATAAAAACATTTTTTAAAAATTTAAACAATCGATCTTTGACTTATTAAAGTTCAATCTTTCAATTTTTACATACGTTAACCTCTTCGAGATAAGTGATCATAGATCGTTAAAGTTTCTTACTCATTGATAGAAGTTTATTAAAAGAAAAATAAATATTCAATATTCTTGTCATTTTCAATTGACGATGTCACGGTATATTGCTCTTAAATTCAATTATGAAATCGGCAATGCAATGAAATAACTCTGTAAGGATTATAAAATCAAGAACAAAATGTTAAAACAAAACTCTCATGAAAAATGTTTCTTCTATTTCTGTAAATATATAAAAGAACAAAAAAATAAATATAGTTAAGGCAGCAGACATCAAAGTGCTACTGTATTTTTCGTTTGAACTCTAAATGCAATACTTGTATTTACTTCTGAATTAATATCTACTGAACTGATGTAAAGGCTTCATTAAATTCTATCGATTTGTATCCTGTTTTCATGATACAGATCTATTATTATATGTACATTGCACAAAAATGAAAGCAAATTTTTCTTGCAGTTTGTTGTCTTGATTCGAACTTTAATCAATATGGGAAGCATTATATTTTATCCATTTTCTTCGTGTTCTGCTAATTTCAGAATCAATTGCATTCAGAATAATACATAGAAGAAAAAAATCAATTAACGTCTGTATATCAAAGAAGCTATATTATATTTTACTGGATGACATAAACATATTCTGTTTGATCAATTTGTAAAAAAAAATTTTTCGAGTATAAAAAAGATTAAACAGAAACAAAAAAATTGTTTATTTTTCTTTATTTGAAAACAAATTCAACCAACGAATTTTGATTTCATAGATTGAATTGTGTTATTTTTTGAATCAAACTTATATTTGAAGAAAATATAACTATAGATGTGATTCACTGGGATTATATTTTGATGAATAGAAACAAGTATTTCAAGTGCTTCTAACATATTTAGTTACATATGTATTATATTTGTTTGAACACGATGATAGTCAACAGAATCAAGATGACTAATTAGTGAAACTTTTGTGTAAGATAATTTGCAAAGACTCTATTCATTAGTTTGTTTCATCTAAAAATGTCTGAATTTCGCGAATACAATCTTGCTTCCTATAATCATTAGACTTGATCTATCCATATGAGCAAGTTTACAGAAATTTTTTTAATGAATATTTAAAATTAGAAGTTTCGAAACTAGAATAGATTGAAATCAATTCGTAAAATAGAGATACATCAATATTTTCATGAAGTAATAAAGTCTCTAACTTAAATTTCGCCTTGAAGAAAGGATTTCTGTTAATTTTATTTCTAGCCTATCGAAAGTAAGTTATGATTTCGTTGAAAGACAA